GGACCTGCCCCTCCCAGCCTGCGGTTAAGCAAAGCCCTCCCCCTTGCCTTCCTGCCTTCTGCAGGGTCCAGCCGCCCACACCCACCCTTGCCCTCTGAGGGTGAGCCTGCAGTGTCACCTGTCTCTGGTTTTTTGATTTGTTTAATTATAGATGAGTTTTCTGCATAATTTATTCCAAAAGCCTGGATTATACTGTACAATTAAATCACATTCTGATCAACAACTTCACGTATAAAATTAACAACTGGCAACAGTTTAATCTATGCTGCTGCATCTGCACACAGACTCACCCTCCCCCCATCCTTTCCCAGCCCCCCTTATCCTCCCTTCCCTTCCCCTTTCCTCCCCTCCCCCTTCTACCCCTGCTCCTCAGGTGAGGCTGTGGCTGGCCTCAGAGCTGGAGGCCCTGTCTGATGCTCTGCAGTTTGACCCCAGGCCTCCCCAACCTCCTAGAAGGGCCCTCAATGATTCTGCCTCTTTAAAGGGGTCCTCAGCCCAGCTCCTCACCTCACACATATATATCTCCGCTCCCTTGCCTGATGGTGACACCCCTCGTCCCTTGCGTGCTCCCCTCGGTTCTGAACTGTGCCCTGGAGACCACGGCACAGCATCCCGCAGCGGCCGGGGCTGCCCTCAACCTCCCGCTCTGGGAACATGCACTTTGGCCTGTGCGGTTCCCGGCCTCTCACTGGGGAGCGCAGTGGGGCTAAAAGGAACCACTCGGAAAATAACAAAAATAATGAACAACCATATACCAGAGACATTTTGTGGGGGTGGAGTGGGGAATGGGATCAAAAACGGGGAGGGGGGGGACAGGAGGGAAATGCATGGGACTATGGTGGTGGCACAGGGGTGATTTGGTGATGGGAAACCCGCGGGGATTACAATCAAGATGGAAAAAAAAAATGTGCAAAATGATGTAAAAATAAACTTTTGTAATAATTAAAAAAAAAGGAGCCACTCGGGGTCCCCTTCCAGAGCACCCTTCCCTTCCTGTGGTGGCTCCACGCTGCTGCGCCCCTCCAGGCCTCAGGAGGCATTCCTGGAAAACTCCCTGAGCACTGGCAGGGACTGTCCTGGATGAGCTTCTGGCCCTCAGCCCCCCATAATAGTACCCATCAAAGTGTCTGTGTGGCTCTGTCCCTTGGAGCTGTTCCGCCCGTCATTGGTACCCCTGTTTATGGAAGAGAAAACTAAGGTTTCGAGGGGACAGAACTCTCAGAGGTCACACAGCTGGCAAGGCGGCCTCTTGCTGAGGCTTTGCAGAGGCTGCTTTGTCCTGGGAGGGTGGTGCCATGGGCGCCTGGGCCCCGGGACAGCTCTGGCCTCTCCCGCACCCACCCTCGCCAGGCTGTTTTTCTCTTCTGGGGCAGGATGCCTGTGCGCCCCTGCTCCCAGGCACATCAGAGCCCACTGGAGGTTCTGACGCAGCCTGGTACCCACAGCAGTCAGCCCTCATCCCGCCTCATCCCGCTGCATGCCCGCTGCACGTGCTCCCTCCCAGACACGCTCGCCTCACGGTCTTGCTAATTTGGTACTTAGAGACACTTGGAGATAAGCAGTGTCATCTCAATGAAGAGCTTGGAAAATCGCAGGGATGGGGGGCGACAGCAGGTACGTGCCCCCATTGGCAGGCTGCCTCAGGGGCAACACTGGCTGGCGAGCGAGGCACTGGCAGATTAGGGTGCTGGGGTCCAGACAGGCCTGGTCAGTTTCCCTTTGACTCAGTTGGTCCATGGCTTCTATTTATTTATTTATTTCGATTATACCAGTTTATTTCTACATCATTTTGTTTCTTTTTCCATCTCAGCTGCAATCCCGGTCCACAGCTTTTGATACATCCCCATCCTTTCAAAGCCTCACACCCTTCCGCTGGAGCAGGTACAGCTGTACCTGGCACTTCCAGTCTTGGCTTGGTGGGTGGCTCCGGGCCCCCTTGGCCCCATGTGTCACCTCTTGGAGACAACAACCAGGACTGCAGCCAAACCCTGGGACCCACAACGTCATGTCTCCGTGATGATGAAGTGACTTATCTATCATGTTCTTTTTAACTCTTGGACACACATCTGGCTTTCCTAATTGGGTTTGGCTGAAGTGAATAATCAGAGTAACTTGTTTCCCTGGCACTGTACAGCTGGGGCCTGGGGTCTTCCATCAGGCCCGGAGCACAGAGCAAGGCTGGCCTGGAGCCAGCCTGGGGCCCAGGCGGGTGTATGTTCCAGACCTGTCCTGGGGTGGACCAGTCCCCGCAGCCCACAGCAAAGCTTAGAGCAGCTCGCCCTGAAAGTGGGAACGGGAGCGGGGAGACTGTGTGTGTTTGAGAGACAGAGTCTCTTAGGGGCAGAATTGGACTTTATTGTGAGATTTAGATCGTCTGAGTTTTTAGTGTTGAAATAGCCCTTTTCGGTAAAATGATGATAGTAAAAGGGTGCTGCCTGTGCAAAACAAAAACTTGGCATTTGTGTCTATGCTCCCAATTAATTTTCTTTCACTTACCTGTGACTCCTACCACCGGACACCTACCTCTACACTAGGCGAGAGAGAACAGCCTGAGGTCAAATCACCGGTGTGTGCTGTTGAAAATGCTTACTGTTCATGCTCCAGGGGAAGACCCCGATGTGTAGCATCTGCTGATTTCTGCGGTGTCCGTGGGCCGCTGCAGCTCATCGCAGGCTCTCAGGGTGAGAACTGCGCGCAGAACTGGGCGGGAGTTTACCGCTGGCTCCTGCTGGCGCCATCAAACCCCTGTGCACACTCTGTGTTTATTGCTTCCTGGGTTGGTGACCCTGGACAGGCCCTGAAAGCCCCTGGGCCCCAGTTTCTTCATGTGTGAATGGTGGAGGGGCTGTTTGCCTCTTTGTGAAGCCAGAGAGCAGGGAAACGCCTTGCTCCTCGGCTACACCTTGGACGCTGTGGGTGCTATTGTACATATTGGCCCTGGGGAGGGGTGTGCATGGTTGGCTTCCTGTCCCCTAGAGTGGCGAATGCCTGCAGTCAGGGTCAAAGTCAGGGCATAGCTAATGGTTCCCCTTGGAGATTAGCTACTTGACCTTGCCCATTCATATGCCACCTGCCTGACTGGATGCAGGACGGAGGGGCGGTCCACCTCCCCATTAGCCCCCCTAGACTCTGTCTCAGGAGTACAAAACAGCCACCTGTCACTCTGTCCACCCACAGCCAGAGCCAAGCCACCAGCACCTGGTGGACGGGCGCCAGGGGCCGAGCCAGTCTCCATTCTCCACTGGGCTTTGCTCTCCTCGGGCTGGCGGCTGAGGCCTCATTATCCTGCCTCGTGCCACCTGCAACCTGACCTCTGCCAGGGTCTGGGTTAGCTTCTCCCCTGCAGTGAGGAGTAGAAATGGGCACCAGGCTCAGCCAGCAGCAAGCCGAAGCTAATACCTCTTTCTTTTGATGTTGATTTTTTTCCCATCACGGTCCTGACATTCAGCTTGGCAAATTGCAATTAGTGATCTGCCCGCCTCCTGCTCCAAGTTCCCATGCCAACCGGCCGGGACACACACAATGGCATAGGCCCAGCCCCCCAGCCCCAGACCTGAGGAGGGCTGTGGAGCGGGAAGGGGGGTGAGGGTATCGTCTCAGGCTCTTCTGACCCTAGAACTAGAAGAGTCCTGGCCCCGAGGGGCCTTAGGAGAGGCTGTGGAGGTATAGGACCAGGGCAGGTATTAGAGGTAGTAAGACCAGGGCAGTCTCCCAGATCCTGTGGCCTCTGTGGGAACCCCCCCAAGAGGCTGGGAGGCTGACATCACCTGACCCCTGCTTTGCCCTGTGACCTGTGTATTTAAATATTTGTGGTAATTCTCCCGTGAGCCCTCCCCTCCCCTGGCAGGGGAGGCCGCGGTCTGTGTGAGGAAGGAGGCCAGGGTACCTTTTTAGACACTTTGGGGCGGGGTAGGAAGGGTGGGGGTTTGGGGGGGGAAGGTGGTGTGTGGTCACAGTGAGAGATGCTTTGCAGTGTGAAGTGTTCACTCGCCAGCCCCTGCCCCAGGACCACCAGTGTGATTTTGGTCACCTGACCCGATACTGCCTGAAGTGGGCTCCCAGGTTAGAACCCAGCCAGGCCCCTGCCCAGCACCGTCCCTATTCCTGGGTGTCAGCTGAGAACGCAGAGCCCCGTGACCACCATCCACCCTGCCCGTTGGCACCGGCCCTTGTTCACCTGGTCTCCTCTGTCTTTCTCATACTCTGCGAGGTGGCCTCACGTTTCCCTAGTTTCCAAATTAACTCGAGATGGGTTAAATCCCACTCCAGGTGGCACCATGTGAAGGAGAGTAGTGCAGGCTGGTGGCTCAGGTAGAGGATTCACAAGGTTTGCCGGCCCCCAGAAAGGGGTGACACTCTGAGCTGGACCTGTGGGTAGGCCGTGTGTGGGGGGCCTCCAGGGGTGAGCCTCAGGGAAGCTTCGTGTGCCGTGGCGCTGGAAAGGCGAGGGCCTCTGGAGCTGGAATCTCCACGTCCGGTCTCAGGTGAGACCGAGGGCAGGGTCCCGCCCCCGCTTACACAGTGGCTTCACAGTGGCAACAGCCCTGCAATATGGGCAGTATGCCCTCCCTTCCCCTAGTCCCCACCTGGCTTGGGGGAAGGCGGCCCGAGATTCAGCAGTCCCCACCTGCGTCACTCACGTCCCCTTCCTGCCTGGTGTCTGGAGTTCCCACATTCAGAGCGGCAGCATCAAGGGCTGCTCTCCGTGGTGGAAAATGCTCTCCCCCACAGGCTCCTCGGAGCTGCTGGACTCCCTCTGTGCATTTAAAGTGCAGTCCTCTCTCCTCCTGGCTGCCCAACAATACATGAGGAGAGCTGGGCCAGCGGGTCTGAACTTCAAAGGGAATCACAGGCACACTCTGGTGCCCAGCCTCTGCTTCTTCGCTAGTGAAAATTAGGTTCTGAAGGGGCAGTTGCTTTGGTCACCTGTAGGTGGCCAGGGCTGGATGGTTCCAGCCCCAGGTGGGTCCCTCTGACCCCTCTGTCTTCTCTACACACAGGATGCAGCACTGGGCCCGGCGCCTGGAGCAGGAGATTGACGGCGTGATGCGGATCTTTGGGGGTGTCCAGCAGCTCCGTGAGGTAAGTCTGATTCCACGTGCTTTCCTTTCAGGGGCCCTCATCCAAGTGGGCATGGAGAAGGGGCTTCAGACGGGAGCCCTTCCATTCTGTGCGGAAGGGTCTCTTGAAGTCCCAGCACTGTGAACAGTTGAACGCCTGGGGCAGTTGGGGAAATAACTAGAAAAGCAATGACTGCTTGGGCTCTTGACCTGCTTTTCCTGGGGTGACTGTTCAAGTGGTACCCCGTCAGCTCTGATGTAAGGACATCTGGCTTTTCAGGTTTTCAGGTGGTCGAGGTCTGTGCTTGAGGCACCCCCTGGGGCAGGGGCCCAGGCCCTGGAGGGGCGAGGATGCACAGAAGCAGTGTGACTCTCGGCATACCAAGTGGGGTGTCCAGGCCACAGCGCCCCGGAGCACAGAGCCACCGCTCAGGATGCTGGCATGTGAGCCCAGCTGTCTGCCTGTGTTTGGCGGGCTGAGGGATCAAGGGGCGGGAGGGGTGATTGATTAGGCTCGAGCGACCACATTCATCCTGAGAGATTATGTTAATGTTTGAAATAGTGATGTGAAGAGCAGGCCATCCGTCACCCCCAGAGGCTGCAAAGTGTGTCGCTGTCAGGGCGCGGGCGCCTGGCCGTCAGTCTTCTGTGGGAACACAGAGGCTCGAGGATGAGCCTAGTAGTGAGGGGGTGGGGCTCCTGGGGAATCCGAGGGGCTTCAAGGGGCTCTTTAATGGGCACTCGGGCCAGGAGGTACTGAACAGAATCCGTCACATGATGAACGGGGATCTCCTGCTGGTTGGCCGGAGCAGCAGAGTAAACCGAGTCAGCGTGGGGTCCAGGCCCAGGGCCTACACTGAACACTACACTGAATCAGGGCCGTAGTTGCCACGTGTATCCTCTATGGGGCAGGTGCCATGGGGCATTGTCTTCAGTTTTTTCCTGTATGCCAGGTGCCCAGGAATGAGGTGACAGTGAGTGTGTCCACGGTGTGTGTAGGAACTGTAGCCCCAGGCGAGGGTGGTCACCACAGGGAGGGGGAGTTGGGTCTGAGGTCTGAGCCACCAGCTTGTGGGTGTCCTGCCCCCCAGGGGCCTGACCTCCCAAACCTCCCTTCCCTGGTTGCTGGGCTTGAATTGCATTAACCCTCACCCCACTCTTCCTGTGAACTCTCAATGACTCAGCCACACTTGGAGACCGGCAGAGCTTTCCAGAGAAGGCGCTGTAGGAAAAGCTGTTCCGGAACAGAAGTCAGTTTATGCTCAGGAATAGCACCCGGCATTAACTAGGCTCTAAGTGGGCGCTGCAAGCGCAGGCCTGGGGCTGCGGAAGGAGTGGTCGGCCCTGGACTGTGCGTCTGTGCCTCTCCTGGTTTCATGACTGTGTCCTCTGCCCCGCCCGTGGGCAACGTCCCGTGCTTTGAATCCTCAGCCCGAGGACATTATTTTATAGTCATGGACAACGCCATCACTAAAAGTTTTGTCAGAGAGAAAATAATGTACACACTTCATGCCTGAGGCTCAGATTTGTCTGAACCATCAAGCTTCCTGGTTGGCGAAGGCCAGAGTCAGAATCTCCACGCCGTAGACCCACTGTGTGCTCCTGGGAGAGCCTAAGACCCTCTCTGGTCCTGTGGTCCGGGCCCCACTTAGGAAGTTTGACTGGAAGGAAGGGTGGTCAGAGTGGCAGTGGATGGGCTGGCTCAGATTCATCCCCTTTTCTAGACATCAGATTTGATTTCCCTCTTTGATTGTTTTCACCCCCTGGATGTGTTTTTCCTCCCATTCTGATGACATCTGAGTGATTCCAGATACTTTCATCAATGAGTGCATCTCCCCCGCCCCACCTGCCAGAGTCACACTAGTTTGGGGGGGGGCAGCTGGGGCTGGGACCGGGGCTCCTGACTCCCGTCCCAGGGCCCTGCGCCTCTTCTGGCTCTGCCCGCCCTCTTGCAAGGTGGCCGGGTGAGCCGGCGGAGGGCAGCTGGGCCGGAGCAGGGACTGTGCTGAGTGTCGTGGTGGGCGGCTGGCGGGCTGGCAGGCAGGCAGAGAAGTGCTGACCTGGCATTCCCGGCTCCTCCTGGCAGCCCTCTGCCTGCAGACGACTGCCAGCTCTCCAGCGGCTCTGTGTCCTGCTCCAGTTTTTTCTCACCTGCTTCCTCAGCCTCTTAACTTCCCGCTGACAGCTCTGGGGTTGCTTCTCGGCACAGGGTGCTCTGGCGAGGTAGGCGGTAAGGGAGCAGGTGAAGAGTTCTAGAGGAAGAGGACAACCCCGTGGGAGCAGGAGGGAGCCAACTAATCAACTCTCCACCCCCCTACAACCCACCCTGACCTTGACTGAGCCACTGTGGCTCTTCTTCAAAGGCACTGGAGAGGCCCGTGCGCCGGGCCCATGCCTCACACCATGCCTGCAGAGAGCCCTGACCCAGCTGTGGGTGCTCCTGTGGATCTGGCACCAGCGCTGCCAGACCGACAGCCGCAGCCCCATGGAGGCGCCCCCCCACCCAGGCCTCCAAGTTGATTCTGGGCTGCCCCCAAATACCGTGTAGCTGAGATGATCCTCGCACCCAGGTCCCCTTGGCCTTCTCTTCCCCTATCTGGCTGCCCTCTCTGCCTGCTACCCTCCTAGAGGCCACCCCACCCCCAGAAGCTGGGAGCCACAAGAGCTGGCAGCTGCGGAGCTCAGAAACTGCAGACAGTGGCATTTGGGAGCATTTTCCTTGCCTTGGCACTTTCTGCCTCCCAACCGCACCATAGCATGGGGGCTGGGTATAGATGGGTCCGTTTGCAGGTTGGAGACCATGGCATGCTTGGAGGAGTGTGGGGGCCTTCTGTGAAGAACCCCATCACATTTCGTCATCTAAGCTCAGAGCCAGCGCATAGTAGGAGCTCCCACTGTAGCCTGGTGTTCATGTGCCCCTTTTGCTTAGCCAGGCACTTCTGAGCCATGCCCCCCCCCCCTGCCTCCAGAGTTTCCAGCTCTGGCCCACGAGTCGCCCACAAAGACGAGACCCTACTGTAGTCTGCTCCCTACCCCAGAGCCCTAGAAGCTGAGTCACCAGAGGAGACTGGCTCTCCTGAGCCCCTTCTTTACCCTCCCCCATCAGCACCATATTGCACCCATCCTGGGGGGGAGAGCAGAGAGCATATGCTTGGGCTCTGCGCTCATTTACATAATGAGGCTGATCAGGAATGAATAATTCATCAGGTGCCTGGGGGTGCACAGCGAAGGATGTGGAGACTGCTGGTCTCCCCACTCCAAAGCCCAGGTCACTCCAACCATCCAGCCAAGGACCTGCCCCCTTCTGGCTGGGGACCTTGTGGGAATGCAAAGCAGGAGTAGTTATGGTCTGACATGAGACAGGCCCAGTGGTTTATCAGGAAAGCCAGGCGTGAGGTGGGCCCCTGCCCTGGGTGAGACCTTCCTTGAAGAATCTCTACAGAAGAAAATGAGAAGAATCCCCTGCCTCAGTGGGCTCAGGGGGTGAGGGGAGGCTGCTTGGCCAGAGCTGGGCTGGGAGCAGAGACCTGGGATAGTCACACTGGGGACCACAGGCTCCCAGAGAAGGCCCAGGTCACATGTAGGTCTGACATGGTGTCTGCATGAAGCCTCCATCCCTTGCCTGCCAGTTAGGGTGGAAATGGCTTCGAGCACTGTCCACAACCCTGACTGTCTCAGCTCCCACGAACCGTAGCTCAGTGGGACGGTGCTGGTTGCTCTCACAGTCCTAACATACAAATGCAGCAGGCAAGGCCCTGCCTGTCTCAGTCATCCTGGAGCCTGGCAGTGCAGGCCACCTGAGAGGTGGTGGGATTCAGGAGAGGAATTGAGGCAGAGGGGCGGGCCTGGGGCAGCCTCCCCTTGGACTGCTGACCCCGTACCCAAGAAAGTGGACTGCAGAACTAGAGACCCTGGCCCCAGTCTTTGTTCTCCCCCACCTCCACCCCAGTTGGTGTGCTTCTCTGGACGATCATGGTGATTTGGGGTGATGGCATCTGTACTCCCACTTCTGTGGGTAGGGAGCATGGCATTCCTGAACCAGTCACAGTGCTGCAGTCCCAGCCCATCTTGTCTGCCGCTGGCCATCCCTGTACCCTGTCTGCTCAGTGCTCAGTGCTCTCTGGAAACGTGTAATTAATATTTGCAGAATGGCACATCTGGAGCTGGCTTCTGGCAAGGACCAAGTGTGGCCACATCGACCGCTGCTTTCCTGAGGCCTCAGGAGGCAGAGCTGGGTTTTTGCAGGGACCTTTTAAGACCTCTCTCCTTGTCCCTACCCCTTCCACACACACCCCACTGGTACCTCCTAAAACAGGCTCACACACTGCCTCAAGGGGTACTGGCTGTGCTTGCCCCCACTTGGGGAGGGTCCTCTCTGAGCATCCAGGCAGCCAGGGCTAGTGGTGTCCAGCAGGGAAGCTCAAAATACCAGAGGGGGGCCTGATTGCTGGCTCAGTGGGTTAAAGTGCAGCATTTAAAGCAGTACGAGTTCAATCCCTGCCCCCGAGGTGACCCACATGGCACGGCAGGCCTCTCCTGACCAGCCTACTGCTCCCCTCAGCAGTGTGCTTCCTCAATCTGCCTGTTCTGCTCCCCACTCTGTCTCTGGTGAATCCTCTCATCGCCCCTGCACCTTTGGCCTGTACCCCAGTTCTGTATGCATAAATAAATCAATCTTTAAAAAAAAAATGCTAGAGGACTGGGGTGGAAGAGGAGGAAGGAAGTTACCATTGTGGTGGCTACAGACAAAGCATCCCCAGAGGGCCAGCAAAGGGGAGCTCAAGCAGCTGTCACCCCCATAGCCTATTTTGTCCTGCTATCAGAGCACTGCAGTTTGAAGGTGCCTGAAGAGACCCTGCCGCTCCTTGGCCAGGCAGACAGACCCCTGCTCACACAGCCCCTGCTGATGTGTGGAGTCTGGGGGGGCGCCCCACCTAGGCCAGCACACTCCTCCCCAGGGTTTCCTGAGTCCCAGAACCATTGTCCTGGGGGCTCTGCACTTGCCCATGGTGCACCCTTCCC